AAGAAATACAGTTCGCTCTACCTCCATGTATAGTGTAATAAAGCACACTTTCACCCTGAACTATTATAGTTAAAGTACGAGGACGTTTGCGTCCGAGTGCTTTAACGTTATAATAGTTCAGGGCGTTGTGACGTAATGTAAACTGGTTCGATTACGAGGCATGGCGCAGTGACGGGATAATGGCATTCAGTTGTTACGTCATCAAAAAACTATACCTTTATTGTCTGATAATGTATTTTTTATTTTCTTAGAATCTTAATTAGACATGTTTATCGCTGTTGTGAGCTTTTGCCACAATGACACACTTGAGGCGGCACATGGACAGATACAAAAAGAAGTCATCTGACTCAACACTTCAAGCAGAAATATTAACAAAAAAGTTTACCCTTTTACTCAAAAATACCCAATAGACTGGAATCAAGGGAGTAATAACACCCTGAAAAAAAAGTATCTATACCTAACATGAAAGACAATCCATATGTAAATGGTCAACAGAGCAAAACATTATCTGGATCCCTTTTCTTGTAATGCAACAGTTCCACGGTCCACTACTTCAGTGTTGATCCAAACCCAGTCCCAATAGAAAATGTCACACTTACAGGTCATTGGCACAGATTACAACACTGAACAAAAAAGAACTGTAGTCTTTGGCTACTGCTGCATTTATTCAACCAGATCTCATCAACTTCCAATAACAACAGTCACTCAGCCATGAGGGAACATTCAACCAACGACTTTGGACAAATAATTACATAGATCTCTTGCCTTAGCCAACCATTAGTGTTCAGATCATACCCAGCACACACAGCCATGGTGCCTGCTCAGCAAACACAGACACAATTAAGGAACTGTGGCTCAAAGATGGGGGCGTACAATGCCGATAAAGCTGTCACTAAGAAAACTAACTCCATTTTCTCAAACCCATGTCGGTTCAGCCCAAACAAAAGCACCTGCAAATCTGCTCTCTTCAGAATGGCTCTGCTACTACAACAATAGGTTGATCTACAAGTCCAAGCCTGTTGGTGAAATGATAACATGATGCACTGATGGTAATGAATATCCCGAGATAAGATTTTATTGTTATATCGATAAATGCTGTGTAATATTTGATGAGTGGGAAGCTGCTGATGGATTCCACCCTAAAACCTCCTGACCATCCTCTGAGGGAAATGTCTAAAATTTGACAAGTAATTGCTACACCAACTTGTCTGCTATATTGTAGATTGAAAATTGCCAGCAACAACTGTCTGGTCATCTCTAAGACCATTTCTCTCTAAGACAGCATGATTGCTACAGCTGATACATTGATGAACTCTAAAAACCCCAATGGCAAACACCAGAGTGCATTTGATCCAGTGGATCCCATTTGTAACTGTGGAAGATGGTTGGTAAACCATTGTGCTTCCTCTTTCAGTGACCAAGAAACAGGCAATGACATGATGCACTAAGGCAGGAGGTACATAGCTAATCAATAACTGGAGCATCCTTCTAGTTCATAGCCTAGCAGACATGATCAAGAAGATTACACATTCACTGACACTGGCTCCACTCCGGTATCAGCCAAAGGCAAAAGTCACAGTGCATATTTGACATCTAAATATAGTGGAAGTGCCATAGGACACAAAGCTAGAGTCATTATACCATGGCACATGTTTGACATCTACATTGAAACACTAAAGTAGTAGGTCAGGCCCTGACAGCAAAGCAAGATTAAAAGTCACGCAGTACTAGTTTTCAAAACCTTTGCAAATGTAGCAGGACATGGAGTCCTCCCACAAATGACAACCATACCTCTGGTGTCACTTAGATAAAAAGGTGTCCACAAAGTTCTGTAGTTTGAATCTTGTCACATACAAATTTTATGGTCACTACTTCAATTTAAATGTTCACCACAACATTCAAAGGTGATGACTGAAATGTCACTGCTAATTTTGCAAAATATAACTATATGAAGTTAAACAAGTGTAACATTGTTTAACAGCTTCTGAACCAAACTTCCAGCTATGATACAAGCAAAGATTTCAGGAACCAATAACACAAAGATCATAACGACAAAAGCAAGCCAAGCGACATGAAATGTTGAGTGACTCCTTACAAAAGTCCAGTCAACCTCCCCTTGGACATAAATCCACCCACATCTCAGTGAACGTCCACAAGGGCTTCAGGAGATGGTGTCTGAGATTGGAGCAAGAACTGCATCCTACTGAATTACATAATCTCAGTCAAGCCATTCATCATGTACAGTGAATCATGACGCTCTCCATCTGCTTCCTCATTGCTCAGCCTTTGTGAAGATAACCTGGTACATTTGAACATCAACTGAAGGACCTTGATCCTTAGCACATCTTTAGAGTATGAAAGAACCTTCTTTTACAGACATTTGAATGTCTAGCAAGTAATATAATTCCTATGAGAACTAAACAAAGGTTCATGGCTGTGCAGGTCACCTGGTTCAGTCTGTTTTGTGAATAATGTTATTGCATAGGCTCTTAGAGAAAAGAACAACATTTGAGGGTGAAGTTTAATTAGTGACAATCAAAGAAAGTCAAAGGTAAAGATTTTAGTTTCTGCCAACTACTCCATTCATATACTGAACAAAATAAGTTAAGGATCATGAATATTTGAAGGGTGTATTTTTATGGATTTGTGTGCTTAGTGTTTACCACAAAAAATATCACCCAAAATATTAATGATTCCTAAATGACTTATTTATTCAGTACATATCAATGGTTAATTGAAACCTAATTTATGTTAAAAAAACCCACCATATTTGTTACTTTCAATTTTGGCTAATAGTGGACAAATCTGTGTCATGTTTAAGACTAGCGATTAAAATATATATAAGCCTAAAAACTGTCTAAACATTCAAACAAGATCTACACATGCGACTTTAAGGGCAGAATGTGCCAGTTTGCTTTGTCCCATGTGGTGAACAACAAAGGTGAACAACAACGAAGATAAGGCTACAATCTCATTGTGACAGTAATGACATTGTGACAGTGACATATTAGACTAAAATGTCTTTAACAAAACACATACCACATCAGGATCAGGATCAGTTTAACAATGTAACATATATGAGAAACAAAAAAGTCCTAATATGTTGGCCAGAATGTATTAAGTCTTGCAAAATATACATGCTATTTTATGGTGTATACAAATTACTTTGTAGTTCCACATGCAAAAGGAAGACTAAAATATTGCCACCTGTCAACAACAGGAAGAACTATTTTTCACGTTCTGCATAAAACATCAGAAAAGGACATTTCTGAGTTTAACAAGTTGAAGAAGATGTCTTCTAAGTTAAAACATTCCTGTTTCAATTCTACGACAAAGATCACATTTGTACTGGTCGATAATTTAGAGTGTTTGACAGACACACAAGCAAAATTCATCTAAACATTTTATCCTCATGCCAAATAAAACAGAGATGACACTGAGGCGAACATATTCAATATTTAAAAAATTACATCACTATTAGGCCCATACTGACAATTAATGTGTTTGCACTGGACACTGTAGGGGTTTAAGTCATAGCAATATTTCAAAACACACTTCCTGTCTGGGCAGAGCTACTCACAACTGCAAAACCCAGCTCTATGGCAACCATTGTTGCCCCGTAACATCCTCATCGTCAGGAAAAGAAAAATGTTAAAATAAGCTCTGATCATGTTGATAATTGACTAAAACTGTCATACAATGGAAGTTTCAATATGAAAGAGGCTTTTTCACTTTTGCACCAACAGCTTCAGAAATCAATAACTGGAATAATCATGTATTATCATAAAAGAATGAAACGCAAGATATCTAAACAATGAACTGGAGCATTGCAAATAGAAACATAACACAGCAGCTGTCAGTGTATTTGGACTACTCTGAAGACTTAATGAGTTCATTCATTGTCAGTCATTTGGTACCACGCATCAACAAGCAAACAACATATTACTGACAAAAACCTCAGTAACGCAGTGGCCACACAACGATGAAAAGTATTATTGGAGATTGTCACTAAGTGTTTATGATCGGACACCGATAGCAAGAGTGCATGTTAAGTGATTGCCTGCTTCATTGACTTTTTCTCCTGTTACACCACCATCAGCAGCCTGAAGCTGACATATCACAGAATCACTTCAGGATCAACACACCTTTTATCTTGACATCTGTCATTGCTCTGGCTCTGAGTCTAAGAGTGTAAAAGTAGTGTGATAGGAAGAAATGTGTCATCTGTCTGATACTTAGGTGCCCCAATAGCTGCTAGCTTCAGTCTAGTAAAATTAACATAAGGATGGTGTACAACAAACATTTAATAGTTCATTTAGGTAGAGCAGAACATGTGAAATGCTATAAATTAAACCAAAATGATGGAGGAAAGTTTTGGAACATTCTCATTTGGGCAACTAATAGTCACCTACATTTATTTGACAAGATTGGTGCTTGAAACTTGTTCATTAAATAGAAGAACTCAGAGTTTTCCTGAATATGTTTGAAAGAATATGCCCACGTAAAAAAATTGACTATTTCACAGCTTGTTATGACAGTGGTGCCTGTTAACCCCTAAATAAGGTCATCAGTGGTCAATACAAAAACGCATGCTTTTGGTTTCCAGGTATTTGAGACATAATTTTTGTTCAAGCTAATTGTAACTTCTTAAACTGAGATTGAGAAATGATCATGTTCGAAGTGGTCCAGAGGAGACACTTGTTGAAACATAAATATCCAAGGGCAAGTAGCTAGAACTTACAAAGGTTTGGGCTGCAATGGGATAACTACTGCTGTTCTAAATGTGATCATGCTACTGAAACAGATACATCCAACATGGTAGGAAGTCTAGTGGAGTGAGAAATGACATCGATGATCTTCAGGACCACCTTCAGTCTTTGTGAGCTGAATCCCTTACAAGATCAATAACAAGGACACTATCTGGTTTGGATTCTACACCATGGAGAATAGGACAGAGAGCATAAGTGGTGGGGGAGAGTGGGGGAGACAATGTAACTTACTCAGCTGGCAAATCAGGTGCCTCGTCCTCCTGGCCTGGAACATCCACGTGAATAAAAGCTGCTCGCTTTGTGATCTCTTCCATTGAAGGATGGGTCAGGAAATTGGTCCACATTGAATCTAAAGCAGCAACGTCGGTACAGACTCTAACACTGTTTGAGTCTAATCAACATCCATGTTCTTTAGCACTCCTCACATTCCACAAACTTGCCGAATTTCAAGCATTTACCGTTTGAGATAACTTGCCATAATTACTTCTTACAATGTGGAAATGATTTCATTAACTATTCTTTTAAAGTATCCAGTGCAGACAAAGCATGTTTATCAAGACAGTCTGATACTGTAACTCTGTTTGAGGGTGGAGGGATTCTAATTCCAACATATTGATCACGTCTAACATGTCTAAGTGAGATGATTTCATCTTTTAATGTGGAGTAATCTGAACTTGAGTAAATTTGCTATATGTGACTGAGTGAGGTATTTAGCGTTCCATGGCAAGGATGCCCTTACGGTGGTGTGGGTGTACTTACGGTTGCATCCTAGATCGTGAACAGTCAGCACGGCTGTCTGGTTGTGCTTCAAGTCTCCCTGCAAGACAAAAATCAATCAAAGTTGCTTTCAACTGAAACATTCCAAGATAATAAACACATTGGACACAACATACATAGCATGGAGCCATTGAGAGTGTGATCTAATGGCTCTTAATTGTTAAAAACACTGGTAAGGAAAATAGACTTTTCTTGAAGATTTGTCTGTTTCAACAACTTCAAAGCACAAGAGGATAGTGATTCTAACTGGTTTTCAATACCCTCCCAGGAATCTATTTCACGACATCCAGGCTGCACCAGTGCAGGTATAATATTCAGATTCAGATTCAGTTTATTCAGTAATTCTGGCCTTAAGGCCTACATTACAATTGTTGATGTTACAAAATACTATGCAAGTCACGTGAACTTATGGTTACATTCATGGATACATTTATGGCTAAGCACAGTAAAAACATGTTGAGATAAATTGCTACAGACTTAACAATCATAATTTTCTTAGAATTTAACAAATTTGACAGTGAATGTTTGTCTAATACAGTGTTTGAAAGAAATGGCATATACTTTTTTCGCAAACTTAGATACTTGGTGCCTACAAACATGACATGGAACTCATCCTCTATAGAGCCTGTAGTACAATTAGAATAGATCAAATCATTTTTACATTCTGAAGAAATACCATGCCCTATTTACACAGAAATCATGAAAACCAATTCTTAATTTACATCAATCTCTTATCAAAGATTTATCATGAAAATTTAAGATATATGATTCTGGTTCTTATGAGAGGCATAATATTCTAAGTATCTAGAAGTACTGATGGACATAGACCACTCTTGAATGAAAATATCACATAGGCGCTGTTTGAAAAGAGATATAAAACAGTCTTCATTGCCAACCCCTTGGGCAAGCCATACATAGGAAAATCTGGTAGAATAGAGTAATAGTCTAACAGTAGACAGCCAGTTAACTTTACCAATATCATCTTGTGATATTATAATATTGCTAGTGTAGGTAACTTTGATTGTCAGATGCCACCTACAAATGGCATTGATAGAAATTTTCCATATTAAAAACGTATCCTCTTGTGACGTGTATCAGGTGAATCGAATATTGGAAGTAAAAGTTGAAAAGAAGTCTGTTTTCATACTCATAAATAAGTTCCATAGACCACACATTGTGAACCCCATCTTATGACATTTCATGGAAGGTCAGAAGAAGGGCACTGTTCAATATCTCACTTGTAATGGTGGACAAGTTGATTTTGTCAACTGAATTTAAGTGGAAAAGAAATTAAAAAGCAACAATCTGTCAAAGCGTTCTTTCAAACTTGCATTATAGTGAGTAGTTCTGGAGATAGTGAAGCTGGCCATGAAAATCCCTCTCATTCTGCTGATATGGAATCATTTGCAGTCAATCACAGAGACAATATTGTTGATAATATGGTACAGCCAATACTTTGACAGTGCAACCTGATTAATTCATTAGGTTGCACCTGGTACAGGTCATGCCAAAAAAATGTAATTATACCCTGAAAGAGTTCCACAAAAACCTTTGATATATTTGTTGTGTGTGAACTATATTCTACCATCACTTTTATGGAAACAATCAGTAAATATGGGTTTAGAATTTCAGTTTGCTTCACAAACCTTTTATCCGCAGCTACAATGAAACTGTTCACCCTAAAGGTTTAGGCTGTTACGAGATTAAAACTCTCCAAGATGAAGCACATGACCTTTGTAAAGTTTACGTTTAGTCATGACAATGAAACAGTTATGTAGCTATGACATGCAGCATATTGACCAAGTAATGGGAAGGCCTTGTGACAGTTGCAAACTTTACATCAGCATTCATGTAATGCAGATTGTTATGAAAATGATTCAGGCTATTCTAGTGATGTCAAGGTGACATAGATGACTTGCTGATGGAGTGAACAAGTTAGCAGTAAATCAGTCAATATCTTCACACATGCAGGATGTTTATTATCACAAGTGAGAGGACAAATGTTGTTTCACGCCATCGTACAATCAGGCTGTACCAAGGTGCTCTGTAAACAGTCAAGCCTGAGACAGGAAAATCAGTTATTGAAGACAAAAGCAACTAAGGGTTCCGTCATGACACATAGCCAGGACACACATGTAAAGATTTGAAGCTGACAATAAGGTGTATGTATAATGGATTGAACAGTCAGATATTATGACGATTGTGCTCTACCTGGAAGGTATCAAGTCCAATTAGGTAACGCCATATTAAGATTTAAGGTTAGTGTAAAGAACAGGGAACCCTATTGTACAAATTTAACAATGCAGGTATATGTGATATCATAGTATCAGGATATACAATGTTTCATGATACGGCTGACAGACATTGGCCAACAACAAAGGATGATGGTTAACATTGGTTATGTAATCACCATACTTTATTCAAACTTGGAAGTTATCTTGTGGGCTGTATGACATGATTAAACTGTGCTTAGTAAGTTAGTATTTTGCATATATCAGCAGAAATATCTGAAACAAAACCACCTGTGTGAAGAGATGTGCTGGCCTTGCATATTATGGATCACTCATACATTGTCTAAACATTATCTGTCTTCCAAGTTTACCTCAATGAAGTTCTATAATTTTGCTTTTATGGAGGTGTAAACTTTCAAGTCGGTGTGCTCATTGTGTAAAACCGCACACATTCTATTATCAGCCAATCAGTAAACACAATAGTCCACTAGTGCCCGAAGCCTATCTTTTTTGGTTTATGGAAACAGTAATGTAGAAAATGTAGAATCTGCTCAAAAAGCAAGAATTGTATGTGTACTACCTCGAGAATGGTATGAAAATACAGGCCTCAATTTTAGTGATACCTTGCAAGGTCAAACTGCCACAAAGACCAGTATAATGAGTTGCTTTATGTCACGTGTTGCTTTATGTCATGTGTGTACATGACACAGGCAACATGTGGAGCTTTCAGACGTGTTATTAGCAACACTACTTCATGCTGTTCACAACATATGCTGCAAAGGAATCAAGAGGCTTGACACCGAAACCATTGATAAAGACACAGTATTTTAACACACGATATGCCTAACATCTGCACAGCATAGAATACATGCATCAGAAATAACATCCTCCTGATGCTCACTAAAGGCTGATAAACACATATATGTCACAGTTCTGGCAGAGGCTCTTAAGATAGTCTATGTAATGGGACTGAATGAATATTTGGGCCAAAGCTAACACAAACTCAATAACACTCTCTTATGATTGCAATCATCAACATCTGGTGTAATGTCACCCTAACCTACCTTTTCCTTACCCTTCCATCTCTTGCTGCATAATGTACAACTGTCATATAAGGAGACTGCTTTAAACTAACGTGACATTGTTTCATGCAACCATTTCCTAGTGCTAAAAATAAGTAAGAAAAAGAGACTGCATCCTTGTCATGACCACAGAATATAAATTTACAGATATAAGGTCACAGTTGAAAGTACTTATATGTTAATTAGGATATTGTGTATGATCATACTTCATATAAGATGGGGGCGGTGGGGTAGCCTAGTGGTTAAAGCGTTAGCTCGTCACGCCGAAAACCCGGGCTCAACTCCCCACATGGGTACAATGTGTGAAGCCCATTTCTGGTGTCCCCTGTTGTGATATTGCTGGAATATTGCTAAAAGCAGTGTAAAACCATACTAACTCACTCATTCATATAAGATATGGTTTAATTATTCAAATCAACATTCCTAAAAATAGACTGAGATCACTCAACTAAGGTTAAGATTTACCATAGTCTGTCATACAGACCTCGAAACAAACGTATCCAAGAAAGCCCATGCAAGTCTAGAATATGTGGCAAGTCCAGATTTCCACAGTTTCAGGAAAATGAAGAAAGTCTCTGGGCTCCTTTTCATTAAATTTTATTATTTTTTATTGTGAACTGTTTTTTCTGTAAAATATGTTCATTTCAGAGATTAGTTGTTAGTCTAGATTGACCTATTCCTCCTCCTTCCTTCCTTTCCTTCACCCTTGCTTATTCCTGGCTTCCAATTGACCTTGAACCACTTCCTCTTCCTACTGCAGAATGTAAAGCTAGCTGAATTCCGGACATATTTACTACACTGTTTATACACCATCAACCAGCCTGCCATGGCTGAATTGATCTGGAAGTAACAAGACTCCTACCCTGCCGACTTATCAGTGTTTGTATGTAGTCAGGTACAGCCAAGCTACAGGCTGCTCAATATTGATATGTTGTGTACTTTTCACCCATCTGCTGTTCTTACCACATCCCACACAATCTGTTGCATATTGCTGCATGTACAGCCCAAGGAAATGTATTTCTAATTACAAACCAGATTCCAATCTTTCAAGTTCATTTCAAAATAATGGCTTCCAATATGTTGAAGTTTCAATGAACAGTCAAAAAATATTTTCTAAAGCAGCTGAAGAGGCTTCGAAAAATATTTTCACCAAGAAATGCTGAAATAACATAATAAGCCATGATTCCTAACTTCTTAAGGTCATAGAGAAATAATATACGGCATATTTGAATTCCAACTAAAGGCCACAAAAGACCTGAGAGTACCCAGGTGATTTAGTATCTTGCTGACTTCCTTGATTAGAAATGCAAATATTTGTACTTGTCTGAAGTGTGGTAATTTGACATTTAGAATCTCTGTCAACTTAAGAGAAGAGGTGGCATGTGTCATATTACTCACATATATCAAAACAACAGAGAAAATAACAAGAAAGAACTAATGCCTACACTGCCATTGAATAAGAACAAAACCATGAGTCTCTAGCTTTCATGAAGAATGTGAAAAGACATATAAACAAACCAACAATCATAACATCACTTTCATCACACCATTGCTGCGATCATTTATGGCATTTACAATGTGGTCAAATGTAACATGTGTTATATTTATGATTACACTTTCTCAGTAGAGTACTGATTCTTGTACATTGGGGGATTGAGTCACATCTAGGATTTGAACCCAGACTCTCAGATTAAGGCACCAACTCGCCAACACCCAACATCAATGAC